GCTGACCTTTTGACTAAAAGATTCTTAAAATTTAATATTATCTGAGTTCTCACTACTGTAAAAACTTATCGAAAAGTCGATGGTCCAACGGGCGGACTTTTTCGTGTTTATTATGAAGGTGATTCTCACGGCAGCTGTTCCTGATTAATTAATGACCGACATTTTTTTAAACTGCATCAACTCTGACATTTTCTATTGCGGTAAGAATTTAAGCTTCTTCTTTGCCCATCTAAAGAGATATCTGTATTCAGACTGAGCTTTTTCACTGTGCTGGTTGGAAAAGACAAGTTACATAATGATTTAAAGAATTACAGCTGATGTTACTGCCTTTTCAGAAAAATGTATTATTTCTTGCTATGACTGATTGGCTCTTGCTGAGTTGCAATTGGTAGAGACAAGAATTTTTTCTTAGAGTAGCGTCTTTACTTGCTGAACCATCATTTCAGTAGAATAACATTGTCATCATAAAGGAACTATCAAGCTTGCCACGAATATGCCTTATTTGTTGGAGTCGTAAAGACTCTACGAATCCCAGAACAGAATGTTAGGAGTGGTCAGCGGTAACGTTCGGGTTTGATCGCAGTCACATTGAGAGTGCTGCTAGTGTTCCTATGCAAAGATAATCCACTCAGGAACTTCGCCTGTGGCGGATCAAATTATCACAGCATTGATTGAACCTGTCAAATATCGGCAGTGGCAGCCATGTTTATTTCAGTCCCGTCAATCACGGTTCAAGAGAGATCAGCAAGATAACACTTTTTGACTGTAAAATTTTTCTTCTGTCAGTAAGGACAACTAAGACGGCGTAATTGTAGATATGAAGATTTAGACATTCGGACAAAGATTTAAGCCGCATCATTCAAGAAGTGGGTCTGTTGAAGCAGACTGGGCAAACAGGATATTCCTTTCTGTATCATCAAGGTAACCAGCAGTGTAGCGTAGACGTGGTTATTCCAGCGCAGGTTATTCGGGAAAATTCCCAGATACTGCAAAATACTAACATATGGAACTGTCTCATTGTCAATTGTGCTTTGGCCTTCAACAGTTTGTTGTTTCGTTAACCTCTCCATGCATGATGTTTTTCATAAACTGATCATCCTTGCGCATTTGTGCTAATCCTCAGTTCGTGGATTCTGATTCTGCTTTCTACTCCACCCATAATGTCTTGTATATCAGGTGAGTCATTCACACTGAACAATAGAAGCGTAAACCATGTAATTTGCATAATTACGAACTGTTAGAATTAGCTGGACGGGCGCTCATGTACTGACATATATACTCCAAAAATGTAACATTTATATTTGCTGGGCGGTAATTACTTCATATAATGAATTCGAGCAGTCGGCTACGGTGGTCATCAGTGATTACCATGTACAAGATATCACTCAGTATGTCTTTTGCTTGGAACAGTTAATCGTTTCAGATCACACTGTCGGTTCGAAAGCTCGCGCAAGGGCTTCATGCAGCGTGAACTACATTCAGAAGAAACGCAGACATTCTCAAAAGAGGATATGTCAGTTGAACTACATTGTATTATAGCCTAGTTTGTTAGCAGCCATATGCGATTTTGGCCCTGGCACTAACGAAAGCGAAGAGCTAATATCAATGTTGCAACGTGCTATGAAAAAAAGAATTTAGGAGCTTTCATCGGGGAGGGGCTGCGAAATGAAGAAATAAGAAGACGCACAGTAATGACGGATTCTGTGTCAGTCGTAAAGAAAAAAGTCAATAGATAAATCACATTGCACGGCCAACATATGGCTGTGAATGTCAACATTGGTCGACCGGCACCGAAGAGTCTGCAGGGTCCCAGTCGGAAGACCTCTGCTCAGATAGAGTGACGAGTCAACAGAGATTTGAAAGCTTTATTCGACAGTTCGCACGAAACACACAAGTGTTGGCATCAAAATCAAGCAGAATTTCCCTTGTAACAGTGAACAAGGATTAATCAAGGAATTTAATAGCTGTGGATGTAGGTAGTGTATCATCATGTCTTATACAGAGTTTCTGGCAGTTACCAGTTATAGTTGAATAGTTTCTAATCGATTTATTCAGAAATATAGGAAACCTGTTTACCACAGTCTAATTGGAGCTACTGTAAGATTGACCAAATGTGATAGAAAAATTGTTGGTCCTGTATTATCCAAGTTCCACGTCGCAAAATCTTGTACTGTGCTTGTCACTTAGATTAGACATTATTCACGTTGTTGGTGGCATCGAAATGGAATTAAACGCTGCGCCATGCCTGGAAGATGCGTGTTACGTACCCATATGGGGACTGTCATGGTTACGGATTTATTTACCTCCGTCAAATTTAACTAAAAGAATTACTGTGACGTAGCGCTACCAGATATCATTCTTCTGGGTACTAGGTCCTTGACCCTGAAACCTCTGATGACTGTGACATTAGCAATAACTGCCGGTCTGAATTGCATGTTGCATGTTAATGAATTTGTAGCGGATTTTGTTTCAGACTTGTTAAAGCGCTGTTTTTAGGATTAAATGAAATGCCGGTGTTTGATTATCCAATCGAGCATGTTCTTAATCTGATGTCTTTGGACCAGTTTCTGAAATGCTATACATGCGTTCTTTTGGAGTATCAGGTGTTGCTGTGCTCAAAAGGTACACATTTACATAGTTTTCCTGTTCAGACTAATTATATATCATGCTGTTTCAGTTATGTATCGACTAATGCTCTTCGCGGAATGCCTGCAGACGCTCCTTTTCCCTTTCAAGTGGCAGCACGTTTATGTTCCAATTTTACCGTGTTCGCAAGCGGTGTTTCTCGAGGCCCCCCTGCCATTTATCATGGGTCTTTGGTACGAAGATGATATTCCTCCAGAAATACCTGAGGTATCTGCCTACGTTGAAACATAGTTATCACCTCTGAATCGGCTTTAATTTTCAATACTGATAATGAAGTGAATGGCAAGATGTTTAGAACCGTGTCCAAACCCATGACAAATTTTCCGGCCTTTGCACAATTGAGCAATGAACTTGCCCCTTCATTTCGATCTGTCGTAACCACCCGCATTCTTTTCAACTTATTAGTTGCTTCTTCACCATTGCTATGCCCATTTTTTTTGTTAAATTTGAAGAGTGAAGAGTGCAGTTTGTTGGCTTTCTTCGGCGAATCTCACAGTTCAGCGCTGGTCTTCATTGTGGCGCCGTCAGCCACGAGTACCTTATTTATAAAGGCAACATTGTACAAAGCGGCATATTGTCTTGTTTCTTTCTCGTGTAGCTGTTGTTTAATGGATGAAGATTGACCGATCCGCCCGAAATTCAAACTTAAGACCTTCTGATTATAAGTCAGAAGACAGGACTTCTATGCAGCTGAAGCTTATACTTCGATCAGCTTTCTGAATATGTAGCCAAGACGTATTTCTTGAAGCCAGAGTGATGCAGTTCGCTATGTTCCCGTTGAAACTGAATATTTGGAGATTGAACCTGTATTTTTTGTAATCTGTAGATGGCTATGCCGTTATTGTTTTTCGTCTTTGACGCCCACTGACGAACTGATGCGTGAAGTTTTAGCTGAACGTGTGTTTGGTGGACATTGATTCCGGTCATATTGAAGTGCCGGAGGATGTTCCACTTTTTCCGGAACGGTCGGAGCTCATTGAGCAGTTATACTTCATACTAGAGAAGTCAAATG